AGTTGCTGATAATATCGTCCAGGCTGATATGGACATCGTCCTGGCCGATCAGTACAAATCTCAGAAGATCGGCCAGATCATCGTCCTGAATGCAAACTGGATGATTTAAAATTGGCTTGATCGTCCTGGCCAATCTCACGATCGTCCCGGCCGATCAGTTCAAATCAGAGGAAAATCGTCCAGAGCATCGCCCTGAATTTGAGCTGGCCGTATTTATCGTCCATAAGTAACTAAGGTTTTTGAATAGATCATCCTGGCCGATCCTGTGATCGTCCAGGACGATATGATATTATCAATCATCCTTAATTACTCCATTGATTTCCTGATCAATTAAGGCATAATTTGTAAATATCGTCCAGGCCGATCAATGATCGGCCTGGCCGATTATTAAAAAATACAGAATACCTTAATTGTCTATGACGGCAACTTCTTTCTGTTTTGAGCTTATCGTCCTGGCCGATTCACGTATCGTCCAGGATGATCTGTTAATGATGGCTGCCTTAATTAAGAATCCTTGTTTATATTTCCGTTTTAAGCACGATCGTCAAAGACGATGTAAATATCGTCCTGGCCGATATGAGTAAAAACAGAATTTCTAAGTCTCTCAAGTGTGTGTGTAGGGTTACTTAGCATAAGTCTCTTTGAACATTACAAAGAGTCTCAATAAGAGAAAAAATAAAGTACAGACTGACTCAACCCTAAACCTACGCAATTTTGAACTGGCTTCATTTGTTCGTCCTATCTTCGATTCCTGAAAAGTTAGAAGTAACAGGCAGTCCAAGAGAATCAATAGTGTTTGTCAATCATTAAAACATAAGTCATGAAAATAGATTTGCAACAGGTTAGAGGTGATGACTCTTGAAAGTCTCTCTGTCGGAGAGTTTGTCTTGCATCCCCTTGGGGAAATTCTTCCCTTACCAACTTTCGTAGTTCGTGACGCAGGGCGTTGTGAGGGAGCTTCACAATGTGTGGTTGGACAGAGTCTTCTAGGAGATCAGGGAGAGTGTGAGGCTACCGAGTTGAGGGCGGAGGATGTGTAGAACTTGATGTATCGGCAAGTTCATTATCCTGTCGAGACTGAGGAAGTCTTCTAGGTGGAGGAAGATGAATCTCTGTTCGAATTGAACATCTTCAACCTGTGGTGGATCCTGAGGGAGGAGAATTTCCTCGCATTGTGCCAGTGTTGGTTGCCAATTTTCCTGCAGGAGTTGAAGGATCTCATTCTGAGATTCTTCCATCTTGCGAATTCTCTCGTCTAAAAAAGGTCCCGAGGTCCCTTCTCCGACAGCATTCTGCCTCCGGAAGCATTCTGCCCACTAGGATGAAAAGAGGCAGACATCGGGTGTCTGTGATTCACAGACTGATTTCTGGATTGACGAGAGTTGGAGCGAGAAGTTCCAATGACACGACTGCTGCACCTGTTGACCATCGTAGCAATACTTGAAGTAGTGGGATAGTGCTTCCCACAGACGGCGCCAAACTGTTTCGGGCTAGAATATACGCGGCGGCAGAGCTTACAAATTCATGTCTGAGCGTTGCACGAATATTCAGCACACAAAAAAGAAAATAAAATGAACACCAGGATTTTTACATGGAAAACCCGAAAGAGGGAAAAAACCACGGGGCCACGCCCAGTTGAAAAGTTCCACTAGTGTTTTGTAAATTACAAGAAGCTGATTCGTCCCACAAGTTAGAACAATCAGATTACAATCCGTTTCTTCTAACTTGAAGCAAATTTACAAAGTTCTGCAGAATTCAGGCATCTACCAAAAATCTGGCAGAGTTCCGACGTATTCAGGCGGCGGAGAGAACTTCGGCGGTGGTCGAGGAGGAGATGATTCTCCCTTTCCCCTTTTTCTCTTCTCTTCTCACTTTTTTTTGTTGTCTTGTGAAGAATGAGGGCTCTATTTATAGTTTTTCTGGAGTGGCATGGCTTGGAAATAGGAGTGAGATCAGGGGCAAATAGGGAGTGGTCGAATGGACGGTTGATGTCGAACCCTTCGATCGTGTACCGTTCGTTGGACATTTGAAGGCCTTAGTGATGTCGGAATTCAACGATCTTGGGCTCGTTGGATTCGTCTCGTCGAGCTGTTCGATTTGAGTATAAGCTCGTTAAAATCGGAGATTGTTTGGTAACTCAGATTGTGGTACGAGCTTTCCAACAACACTTCGGGTGCTTGATTTGGGCTCATTTGGTCTCGGATTTAGTTGAATTTGGTGTTGTTGGGTTCGTATTTCTGAGACGCTCAGTTTGACTATAAGCTTGCTGAAATCGGAGTTCGGTTGATCCCGGATTTAATTTTTGAAGTTTTCGGGTTGGGTTTTACCTCGAGATTCGTGCCCGATCAAGATAATTTTTTGAGAATATATCAAGTCTCTTGTTAGTAAGGATGTGAAATGTGCCTTATGATCGGGTGATTTTTCTACAAAGTGACACAATTATATTACGATCATGGCCAAAGCCCATATGTTCCCTAATGATGTTAACCCCTAGAGTAATGAATCATAGAGTATACTTGATAGAAATAAAGCCCTCTGTAAGCTAAGGTGGATTCATATATATTACCTTAGAGACAAACATCACCCAAGATCTATTAAGTGTCATTGGATGAAGCAACCCATGATTGCTGATAAGATTCCTTCTATCAGGTTGGGTCGACCGTTTCCTTTGATTAAGTAGACTAAGGACCATGACAGCCCAGGACGACGGAACAATGAGATATTGATCGGGCTCATTTTCATTCCCCCCATCATCTGTTTTATGTTTAAATTGATATGTTTCAAATCATAAATCAACTTTAAATCTCTAAAGCTTTTGTTATTATATGCTTGGAACTTACTACCTATCCCATGACTAGTCTTAATCGAAAGTTCTCTTGTTTTCAAGAGGGGTAATTAATTTAAGGGCTTGCGCGTATAGGAAATCAGAACTCAAATTATAAAGTCTTCGCAAAATGAGGGTGAAATCTCTAGGTAGTGTTTTATCTAAAACACAATATGCCTAATAAAATTTTACTGTAGAACCTAAACTCGTTAAAACTCTCCTCGACTACATAAACAAATTACCCGAAAAAAGATGACATGGAGAGGCAAAATTTTCAGAGCCCACATATTTCTTAGATTTTTCAAGGGTCTATTTTCTCTTTTCATTTTTTTCTTGGTACATGTAAACTATAATAACAACAAAGTTATTAAAAACCAAATAAATTCATTAAAATTAGGATTTTGAAATAATGCAATTATATAAAATTTACTATATATATTATTTAATATTATCTTGTTTCTACACTTTGAAAGTGTGGGGTGATGTATCAGCTTCAAGTTACTAACACTTACCTTTTATTTGTGTATAATGGAACTATATAATACTCATTTTACCATCCAACTAGGATGTGGTTTCAATATTTAACTGGCTAATGCTATCATTAAAATTGGAAACTTTGAAGCTACCATTCAATTTGGTGGACTGCAATTCTCTGCAGCTACTGCAAAGGCTGCCGAGTTTCCTATCTATGGCATAAATACTAAAGGGCTTGCCAGGTGACCTAAAGCTGCTGAAGTTTATTTACGACGTGCTCATTCAATGCAATGACCACTAGTCACTAGATTTAGTACTGCTAAAGCAGTTCAACAAAATAGAACCTTGGTCTTTGAAAGGCTTTCATACCCTAAAGTTTTAACTATGAAGAGAACTGATGTTAAACAGAAGACTTCACTGATCTTATCGAGTGTCATCACAATTCTAATTTAGCCTTTCTTACCAGGGAGGTATGATCATGAAACTTCCTTATCTGGAGTAAGATTATTCAATAAGAAAAAGAGAAAGATGAATGCAGAGCTGTGAGCTCAAAAACCATTAGCCAAATCCATCAACACTGTTAGCCTTGGAGCCAGAGATTAACGTTCCCTACCCAGAATAAATATGAAAATCTAAAATGAGTTAAAAGAAATAGCTCTACTGGAAAGCTAGAATAGTCTTTATGGGAACAACAACAACAAGCTCCTGTTCCTCCGAAGAAGAATCATGAAATTCTGTCCGCTAGGGTACACATAGTTCTAAAAGTTGCAAAAAGATGATAACTTGATGAAGAAGAGATATTAAAAGCCATTGACAATCAAGGCCAGGATAACTCCACTAAGAGAGTTTTCATAACTCCACTAAGAGAGTTATCATCTACCACGTTAACTCAAGATAAATTAAGATCAGCTCCACATGGTGAACATTGGAGTGTGACACTTGGACCTTATATGATCATTTAGAAGAAGTTCCTTAAGATGATGGGCAAAATGAGGACCTAGAAGAAGAATTGCTTATTGAGACACTTGCACAGGCATAAAGATGTATAAAGCGCCACATGAAGGAAAAGGATAATGAGATATCAAAGCTAAATAAGAAGATGAAATAAATGATGACACAAATGATTACGATGATGTAGTTGATGCAAAAGAACATCGCTGTGAATCTTGCACCTACTCAGTCATATAATCACCAAGCATCGATCAATGTTCCTTCTAATCTGTCAACTTACTAAATTCCCCATGTATCTAAAGTACAAACCACACATGAAGGGGGAAATAAAGCTAATTGTTTTATTCATGAACATACTCTTCAAAATGTCCCAAGTACATCTGAACCTGTGACGACTGCACAACTAGAATCAATCATCAATGAAAAGATCAAAGTTGTCATTGCCTAATAGCAAGTAGAGAAATTTGTAAGCAAGGGCCACCTGTACTTGGCTGAGTATGATTAAGTGTCATATCCTAAAGGTTATTGTGTACCTAAGTTCAAATCTTTTAATGGAAGTGATAATCCTAAATAACACTTGGCCCAATTTAAAGCAACTTATAGAAATATTGGAGGCATTGATGCTATACTTTTCTGCCAATTCATTAGTAGTTTGACCATGACTATTTTTAAATGGTACATCAAACTTCCCAACGATTATGTTAAGACATTTGTAGAATTGAAAAATATGTTCGTGAAAGGTTCGTCGGTGCTACTAAGAAGACCATTATTTCTAATCTTGCCTTAGAAAAAATGAAAAAGGGTGAGTCAGTGACAAAGTATACAACTTGTTGGTGCAATATGAGTATGAAATGCGAACATCAATTAGAAGAAGAGCACCCTGTCAACTGATAATGAGAAACATCGATGATAAGATATTATCATTTTTATGCATGACATCCCTCAATATTGGATAGAGTAGCCAAGTTTGAAAAGTTGAATTTATCCAAGTCTGAAAATCATTTAGATAGGCTCTGAAGAAATAAAGCTATGAACACTAGAAAAGATGAAATATATTATGTATCATCTTTAAGAATTGATAAAGAAAAATAATCTGCTTCTAAAGATAATAAATGAAAGTAGTATGTCAATCTTAAACCCTTGTATATATTAGTGTTGTGAGGAAACGAGAAGTCTTAGACTTCCCGCAGTGGAGGAGAACATGCAAAGCCAGGAAACAGTGATCTAATTTTATCTCTTAAGAATAAGATGAATAAAGAATATTCTTTTAAAAGGGAAAGTGAGGCCAAACTATTCAAGCAAGCGCTTAATGTTGGCCTTGAATTATCAGAGTATAAAAGACCCGAAGAATTTAATTAGAGAGATAATCCAAATTATTGTTCGTACTATCGAGTTATCAACCATCCAATTGAGGATTATTACATCTTCAAGGATTGGTTGGAAAGAAAGTATCAAAAGGGAGAATTTACATTATCAAATTGTCTTAGTTAACCCTAAGAGAGAATCAGCACGGGTGATCATATTCTATTTCGTGTCCTTCGCTAAAGAGAAAGTAGAAAAAGAACTAGTTCAAAATAAACAATGGGATACTATGATCTCCATGAAGAAAAAAAAAATTGAAACAACTTGAAAGTGTTCTTAGTGTCAAGTGGAAAACCCCTGTTGAATTAGTGCTTGAATTAAAAGGAAAGTCAAATTCAGGTGCATCCACTTTCAAGTCATTAGCATGGAGACGTAATCTTGCCAATGTATCCTGACACTAGAAACAGTTCTTTAAGACATAAAAAAAGTTTGATAATTCAAATAAGTCTGACAGGCTAAAGAAGAAAAGGATTGTACTTCAAAAGATCATCAATAATTTGGATGATTATCATCAACTATTGAGATGACTTATAACACTTGCAGATTTAATGTCAAAGCTTCAAATTTACTAATTAAAAGTGGAAGATGGCGAATAAGAAGGTGAAGATTCACTTCCTATGGAGACAT